CTAAAAATACTGTAGGCGGTTCAGTTTTTATTATTTTTAAACTAAAAGTTTAAAAACATATTACTTGGACAGGGCCTTTTTATTTACACGCAAAGCATTCTGGGTAAATGAGGACGTGGATAGGACCTCAATTTAGCTTGTTTGTCGCGCTAGCTCCGAGCTAATACATATAAGGCAATATAGCGTCAGGGCTAATGCTAAAGCTAACAGGCTAAGCTGAGGTCCTCCATCCATATTTTCAGTTAAAGGCTGAGTCATTTCTACCTTCTCCTCTCTGTCAACGCTCTCTGGTTTCATTTAAAAGAGTCGATCATCAGATATTGTCCAAGATTAACCTTCAGGGTGGATATAGCTCGCTAGCAGCCTCATGCCGATGACCTAGTTGATGTCATCATTTACCCAGAATGCTTGGCTTGTAAATAAAATGGCCCTGTCCTTGTAATATATTATTAAACTTTTAGTTTAAAAATTATAAAAACTGAACATCCTACAATATTTTTGCAGTCTTTATTTCACAGTTAAAGTATATGTTTGTCATAAAAAGTCAAATGTTACAACTAATCGGGGATCCCTTTAAACAGAAAACACATAAATGCGATAATTCAGTCAAACTGTCAGATATTGACCTACATTTTGGGGTAGTAGTTTCTGAGAGTCATCCAAAACACATGCTGAACACAGCTCATTACAAGAGATCTTTGCCTAAATATTTAACAGAAACTGTGGGAGTAAATATTTGTTGGTCTCCTAACAAAATATCTCATGTACCACTGGATGTACCACTGGACAGATCTTAATAAAACCTTTTATTAGTCGTTAGATGTTCATCTTCAAATAATTGACTTTTGAAGTTAAAGATGGCCACCACACCTAATTGACTTAAGTTGTAGAGATCTGGTGTTGCATAATATCATTTTTACAAACAATAAAATTGGATATGGAAGTAGCTCACAACACACATTTTAAATGTGCCAATGTCAAAGGATTGTATGAAATTGCACTATTTTCAAGGTTTAACTAAAACAAATATGCTTGTCATTTCTTAGCATAAGATGATTTAATACTAAAAGTCTCATGTGAAAGGCAGCAAGAGATATGCATTATTTTTAAGGAATCCTAGGCCTTTAATTTCTACTAACATTATTCTGTCTGCTGGTTTCTGGACATCCCCACCCCCTCCCCTGATCCGCCATCTGTTGCTGCATGTTCACAAACCAGTAATATGATCATGTCTGGTTAGACATCACTCCAGCTGGCTGAGTTGTAGAAAGAGCTGCACAGAAACATAGGAGAACAAAACGAGGTGGGGTTACTGGCTGACATTCCCACAGCTGTTGAGTTTTGGTTGTTTATCACTCACTTTAATCTGCAAGATATCTGTGTGGTTTAAATATATCCAAGCTGTTAAAGCAGACAGGCAAGCAGGATGACAATTGGGACAAATGGGAATCTTAAACTGTCTAATTTAAAAACTTGGGTGTGTTTGAGAAAAGACAAAATGCCAATTTTTTTTAATCCCAACGCCCACTTTTTTTTTTTCCAAATTGCATATCCATTAAAAATATGATAGAGACGTAAAAAACCCTGGTATGTTTTATTGCAAATCTTGAAAAATAATGCTAAATTGTCAAAAATTACTTTTATTGTGTTTTCAAGCTGCCGCTCTGGAAAAGCTGTCCACATTCATACAAGGGAAATGATGTCAGGGAAGCACTGCCTTCAAGGCAGACACAGCTTTAAAATGATTCAGCATCAGCCAAATTTGCCTATTTCCAGTTCCACAGCGCTGTTGGATCCACCTCGACGGTGGTTCCACACGGGTGGAACCATTTGTTGTGCTCAACTAACCGCTTAGTTGAACAGAGCAGTCTAAAATGTACAAGATACTGTATGTCAGGAGGCTTCAGACAAACTGGCTGCCCATGATTAAACGTGCACTTATAATATAGTCAGACACTGAAGGTGTCAGTTGCGCACTACATGCGTCTCCGCTCCGCTGCGCTGCGGTGCGCAGGTCGCAGCTGTTTGTTTGTGTCTCAGTTTGTACAGTGTCCGCTCCGCTACGGTCCGAGAGAGTGTGAAGGAAGGAGATAGCGTGATAAATTCAGTGATAAGTGTGGAAGTCACAGCAAAAAATAATTAATTCTGTGAAAGACGAACACCAAACACAGCTGAAAACATTGATATAAAGGCTTTTGATATCTATGTTGAAACTGTCTCGCTGCTTATGTAAAAGGAAACATTTTTCACTTTAAGTTCGCAAACTTTGGTTCTTGTTTCTGTCTCACATAGTTTGCCAGTTTAAAATCTGTTGCATTAAATAAACCACCAACCTTACCATCAAATATTTCCCTTTGTCCCACAATTAGGAAGAACATCAGAGCTACAAGAGTCGCAGTCCAAAAAATTAATCTTGAAACAGATAGTTTATGACTTACCTTGTTTCCAAAACCAGAATCTTCTGAAGTCTTCCCGAATCCACTGCGTCTCAGAGTTTCCCCAAAGTCAGCTTCTCTGAAACAATTATACAGTATAATGGAGTTAAAACCATAACCAGATTTTTATTTCAACACATTTATCACATACTGAATTTTATCTTATATACGTCTTGACCAACTTACCTATATAATGTTATATAATTTTTGGTTGTAGAATGAATCACATACGATAATCTACTAGGGGTGTCCCGATCCGATATTGATATCGGATATCTGTTCGATATCAGTCAAAAAATGAGTATCGGATTTTATCGGCCTGCATAAAAAATGTCCGATTTAAGCGCTCCGATATTAGCAGTTCAATCCAGTAGTCCACTGCCTCCAGTGTTTCTATCCAGCAGCGCTTGCATCCAGCACGCAGAGCTCACATGATCACAACAACATGCTGCGCTAACAAGTTAGCAAGAATGTCGGCAGCAGAACTTTCTATTTTCATCAGAAACAGAGTTGCAGCTAAGTGTAAAGTTGTCATGCACAAGTTTTCTGAGGGGGAACACAGAAGCGTGTACGTTTTAAACCGGAGCGACAACTACTCTCCACCCTGGCAGCAGCTTTGCGTTTCGGCTCGGTTCGTTCAGCCTCGGTCCAGTGACCGCACACAGCCACGCTGTTTCGGAACCTCCTCTCTGGTCCGGTCGGTGGTTCTAAGCTGGCAGAAGCGAGGACAGCACGCTTACAGTTTTGACATCCCGTGGATTAGCTCTGGGTCGATGGACAGAAGAAAGGAGAGCGCAGCTTTTGTTTTGGAATATGAGCGTGACATGACGTGATAAAAACTGCTCCCTGCAGGAGCGAGAGGCTAATCTCTACAAGATGCTCAGAAAATGCAGCAGTAAGAAAGGTAGCTATCAATTTAAATAACTGACTCATTCTTACTATTTATTTTTTGCTCTTGAGTGATGTTTAATCTGTTTACACACTTGTTTGAGTGAAGATTAAGTGCAATGATCATGTTGTTTTAGTTACAGTCAGTAAAATTGGAGCTGTGGACTCTTAACTTTGAACAGACAATAATGTGGGGTTTTGTTTTGTCCACCTTCAGTTTTTTCCACCATAAAGCAGCACCAGGCTGACAGGTAGTAAAACAATAACCAAAGTGATTTTGAATTGTTATTTTATACTTTAAAAGAACATTTTGTTTTTATTATGTTTTATTTTTTGGGGTATTATAATTTATTATATTAAACTGTATAATGTTCTTCAGTTTAAAATGTATGTGATCCATTTGTTAAAAATAAATGGGTCAATTTTTCTCATACCTACTCTTTTTCACTGTTTGACCTGATCAAGACTTTTCTAAGATTTTACATTACAAAATAGGTAAAAGTGTGTGACTCATACTGTTATGGTAATGGGTCAATATCGGTATTGGTCAATATCGGTATCGGACAATTCTCAAAGTTGTAATATCGGTATCGTATCGGAAGTGAAAAAGTGGCATCGGGACATCCCTATAAATCTACCAGACTAAACCTCTAATAACAGATTATAAATCCTGCTGAAGCTGAACAAACACATAACTTGGCAATAAAAGCCTTCAATATATTTTCTTACCGATCTGCGTTACCAACAACACTGGAAGGACCGGGAAAGGATTGTGGTCATCTTTAGTTTAGTTGTTGTTGTTAGCCAAATAAACATCCAGACATCCACAAAAAACAATTAAATAAATAATTTGTCAGGGTTGTCTTTAAATCAGACACATTTAACTTTGTAATATACTCCTAACATGTCACACTGACGTTTTCATCTGTTATTGAAAGATGACATTCAGACAAAAGGTGAAAAAACATTACAGTATAGTTCCAAAAAGCCATGATCTTTCCTGGGTTTTCTTTTTTATTAATTTTTGTAAGTGACCACAGCTGCTGAGTCTAAACAATAATACAACTTCTATATTTCTAAACAAAAAAATAATCAGATTCTGGGAGGGCGGGGCAAGATGGCGGAGGAGTGAGTCGTGTGTCGCGTGGGCTCCCACTCCGACTTGCTCGTTTTATGGTTCTCTACTAAATGTCCTTGCTGCTTTGAGCATTTGGTCTGTCCGGACTCGACCCCTGAGTGATTCTTGCCTGGAAAAGTAGAAGAATGGCGACAAACTCGAGGAAAGGCAAACATTCCAGCTCTGCGGCTGCTAGGCCCGACGCCGCCCCAGAGCTGACTGCAGCTAAAACCAGACTTTCTGCGCCCCCTTCTCCCTCCCGCAGTGAGGTGGACGCACTCTCCTTGAAGTCTGACATTCTTGCCGCTATAAAAACTGACCTCTCAGCTGTGATCAAATCCGAAATAAAGGCGGCTTTAGCTGAGGAGTTTACTTTTATTAAAGGAGAGCTAAAAGCGGTGAGAGCTGAAGTGGCTTACGGCACGATGCTACTGCGCGCAGACCTGGACCACGTTAAACAGAGCGTTAAGGAGGTGGAGGACGGCTTGTCAACCTGGTCCGATGAGGTGGTTTCTCTGCGCACCACCATTTTGGAGCTGAAAGAAGAAGTCGATGGGCTCAGAAAGAAGTATGACGATATGGAAGGGCGCATGAGAAGGTGCAATGTGCGGATTATTGGAGTTCCTGAAACGCCAGAATCCAGCTCCACTTCAGCAGTGGCTAAACTGCTAACAGAGATTACAGAATGATAAAGAGCCACTGGTTGACCGAGCCCATCGCTCTCCAGGTGGGAACAGGTCAGGTGATAAGCCGCGGGTTATTGTCGCTAAGCTGCACTATTATCAAAAATGTGTGGAAATATTACGTCGAGCGCGGACCCGCGGCCATCTTCGTTTTAAAGAGGCGCCGATCACCATCACATCTGACTACACGGCAGCTGTGGCCAAGGTCCGAGCGGCATTTACGGAGGTGAGGAGTCTCCTTCGCAACCGACGAGATGTTCGCTATGGACTGCTTTTTCCTGCACGGCTCCGCATCTCTCATGGGGAGGAAAACATGGAGTTCCTGGATGCCAATAAAGCAATGGACTACTTTAAAAAGAGGATCATCTCGGCGACTGACAGCGAGGACCGGTGTTGACCACAGGTCCAACTCTCATCGATCCATTATGACTGTCAGGTTGTAATGAACCTTTTAACTTTATGTCCCGAGTTATATCTTGATTTAATTTTAGACATTATTCTCAGGGACAACATTCCTCTTTTTGTTAGAACAAATGTACGAGAGTTTCACAGGGGGTCTCTCCGGATCTTGGTTAGTGCTTTATTTATCAGTGCTGCAAGGAGCATAAACAGTAATAATATTTTAAAGTAAGGGAACCCCTTTGTTTTTTTATTTTTTTGTTATTGTTATTTGGTTGTGGCGGGAGTCCAGACAGGGAGTTAAGCCCCCCAGTATAAGCACAWATGTGTGGATTTTTTGTTTGTTGGGTTCTCCGTGTTTTTTTTAGGAGAAAGGGGTGGGACTATACCGGATCTATTTGTTTTGAGAATGTCTTTTTTAGGTCTTTTTTTGTGATGGTTTGTGGATATTGTACTACAGTCTGATTGACCACACATGAGCAGTTCCAATATTAACAGGTTCATCAACAGTCACCCAGTTAACTGTGTGAGTTGGAATGTGAAATCCCTCAATG